CAGGCACGCCGGCGACAATAGAGTCTCCACTGACAGTAGAGAGCCTGATTGTAGATACCCGGTGGACAGCCGGGATATGGAGAGAAGATACGCGGTGGATGGTAGGGATCCCGATGGTAGATACGCGGTCGATAATAGAGAAGTCGAAGCCAGATACCAGGCGGACGGTAAGGAAGTCGACGCCAGGTTCGCGGACGCGCCAAGATACGCGGCCAAGGAGAACTATTACGACCGTTACTACAAGCACCGTCCATCGAGGGATCACCACGCCTCGGACACGTCAAGATACTGATGAGTCTTGTTACTATCGTAAATACATAAGTCACGGCTCAACGGGAATAGACATTCGTCGATACTTTATCCGTCGTTACGACTTTCCAGTCGACGATGTTCTTACAAGGAGAGACCTTCGTCGATTCTGATGAAACTTTGTGTACTGGTAGATTTTCTGTAACCCCTTCGACTCTACTTTATGTTTCTATTCTATCCGATTCTATTTTAGAAATTAACTGTGTTAAACTTGGATTGAATATAAATCAGAAGCTGTAGCGAAGAAGGAATAGTTTGTCCCAATGCGAATAGAGGTGTTCGCTAGGACACACAGCGAAGAGCATGAGTGTACCAATAACCAGAGACCTAACGCAGACCTAACCACAGATCTCGTATAACTAATTTTAAATAGCCATTAACGGTTTAGGTACACAGAAAAGAAATAACTTTCAGCTGTATTTAATATAATCTACACAATTTAGTAATGTAATTTTACAGTTGAAATTGTACTAAATCTGTAGTTGTTCGTACACCTATGCTCTTTACTGTATATATATCTGGTTCCCTTTAGCTAAACTATAATAGAGACTCGCAAGAACAAATGCTTGAAAGAAAGTGAATATTGTTCGCATTGGGACAAATTGTCTCTTCTTTGCTGTGACTCCTGATTCGCTGCCAAGCCTAGTTAGCCAAATCTTTAGTACAATTAATTTCTAAATGAGAAACGCATAATCTATGGTCAAACAAATGACCAGTCTCAACTTCAGTCTCAGCTTCTTTTCAATTGAATGCAAAAATCTTTCACCTGATGCTGAATTGAATAATGCATGAAACAGTTGTATACATAATTTATGTGTCGTATATAAGAACTGTACACAAAAGTTCTAGAATGTTCATGGTAGGTTTTGTGTTGACGCTAAATTTTATTTTATTTGCTCCTATTTCTACTTCGATCAGTGAAATGACTGGTCTTAAAGACACCTTTTTATGTTAAACGCAACAATGTTTCATTTGATACTAACTTCAATAACTATCCTGGAGATTTTTATGCATTTACATTTATGCATTGACGTCCCTAAATACACATAACCGTTTTTCATTATAATAATGAAACTTTGATCATAAATATCTGAAAACGTATCGAGTGTCTATAATACCACATTTTCGTAAACAGGCCGAGAAAATCTACCAGTACATAAAGCTTCAACGAAATCGGTGACTCGCGCTGTCCTTGTTAGTCGTTTACACATCATGTCACGTCTAGAGGATGTCCTACGGGTTGTGGGAGGCTCATTCACTTCGTGGAAGCTCGCAAGAGTTCCGACTTTGTTTAGAATAGTTCCATAGTTCCTGATTAATTGGAATTGTTTGATAATCTCTTAAGTAAAACTTAAGTAAAAAGATTCGATAATCTTTTAGATTAAACCAAGGGAGTTCTGAGATAGGTTTTGGTACGCTAAACATGGTTCAGGAGAGTTATCAAGTAGACCCAAGTTGGATAATGTCTTAAGTAATTTTGAGTGCAAGATTCTGTGGTACGCATACATGAAGGATTCGCTGTGAGTTCTGATGAAATTGAAGGAGTCCTAGGATTGATTGGCTCGCTTGAGGTTGTTTAAAATATTAGGTTGTTCTAAAAGTTTCTTCCATTAGTTGCATTCAATTATTTTGTGTGGCAGTGTTTATATAAATAGACAATCTAATTTCTTAGACATTGATGCTGTAATAGTAATGGAGCGAAATGAATTCTACACAATTTTGTAATGTAACATAAAATATTGTGTATGTATTAATTATTAATAAAATGAAAGAAACTTTTGGGACAATCTAATATTATCCAGATCTAATCGATGGAACTCTTCTGAACTATCCAAGAGCTTCTTTGGTTCTATCGGAGTATCAGGAGTATCACAGAATCATGTCACAGT